ACAACTTCGTTGAGCCAGTCTGGCGCTGCGCTAAGCTCACTGGTTATACTTTGTTCACTTTCGCTTTGTTCCCTCGATCGCGCAACTCCGGAATTTAATGGCATTCCTTGCATCTCATTCTAAATCATTGAAAGTGAGAATGTCTGCAACAGTATCGTGTGGCGTTAACAACTTACTATGCGCTGTGTTCCAACATTGGATGCCAGCGGTGTAGAAGTGGTAGGCATATTCAAACCATCATAGGCCGCAATTTGACCGTAATATTCGGCCAAAGCCTCCAATGAGACACCGGCAATGTCCATTCCACTTATCGGAAGAGAGAGCCCAGGAATAAGTGTGGGAATCACAGGCAGCACGACTGGAATCGGAATTGGTTCATTTGTTACGGACGTTCCTGTATATACAGTTGGATGGACTGTCGAAACAGGAATAAAGGATCCACGAGAAGCAGGAACAGAATTCGTGTGAGTAGGCATATTGAGCAGCTGATTCGACGTTGTAGTAGCAGGAATTTTGGCCATTAGAATGGATGGTGACGGACGACTTGTGGCCGCTGTTCCGGAATTTGGTGACTTTGCCCTGTTTTGCTGAGTAAGAGCAACGACGACTGGGCGAGATGTTCGACAAGAAGACTCTGAAAATTGGGATCGATAACAAACGATTTGTAACCTGAAAATGTGAACAGCTCCAGCTGTCACTGAAGTCATAAAATGATGTGCAAATGGTTAACTTAATAGAAATTGTTCTGCGCCACAAAACTGTTCTCGGTACACTCTAAAATGGTTGACAATACAATAATCTACCTAAGAATGAGCTCGTTCATAAAGTAATTTCACCTCCATCACATCTAACCCTGATGACTGTCAGAAAAATAGACCTAACACAAAAAAAATCTCCATTCATTCCCACTGCACAAAAAGACCACGCAGTGAACTTTTCTGACTCGAAGGACACGAAGAATATGTGCTCAGCAGGCTCTTTGTTTCTACAAACATGAAAAAAGCATAGCTAACCGGAATTTGCCATGAAATATGTTTATTTCTGCATAAAAATGTACAATGCTCAGGCTGAGTAACTTGGCATAAGATGCACTCCAGCTGTACATCACAGTTCAACATTTACGGTGCCAGAAAATACTCAAAATGGTTATTTTAGAATTGCTGATGTGAGGTGTAGGGAGAAGTGAACTCGAGAAAATACTATTGGTAGTATTTTCCAAACATATTAACTTTTAATGGTTCACTAAAATATATAAAACAAAATAGAAATTGTCTATAATGATACTTGGCAAAATAGTAGCGCAAAAAGCAATTTTTCTAGGATAATGATGGTGGCGTGGTGCCCATTTGAAGTTTGTACTCAGTCACAACAGACTGTGTAAAATCCACCTCTTTACTCAATATGTTAAACCACACAGTAATGCCTTACCAATTTCAAAACGTTCTCCGTCGCCATAAACTTTATCTTCACCCATGCCACCTTCAGACTGAACTGCTGCGTGTGCAGTAGTTGTACAAGAGTTAGTTCCCCTGGTGTCTTGTGATGATGGAGCTACCGATCTTTCAAAGTCGCCATCTATTAGTTGCTGAGCACGAACCAATCGCCGTTCGGCTTCCGTGAAACCATTGCTCTTTTTCCGCTGATTAGTTGGCGCCTTTGGAGATGTTGATAATTTCGCGCTACAATTCACTTTTTTAAACTTTAAACAGACAAACTTTTGAAAATTTTCAAGGTATACAACAGGAAAAAATGAGAACATCCCAATTGTCAGCTACGTAAGAATCTTCTCACCTCAACTTATGCATCGGAGCAACTGGTTGGATTTTTTTACCTGTGGCAAGAGCTTGCTGTTGTTGTTGCGTAGAATTTTTCGGTTTGGTAACTAAAGTGTGTAAAAATGATAAACGGAGAAAATACTACAAAGAACATGGAAAGAGTGACGATACAACGATCCAACTTTTCATGCTAGCCATTAGTGGCCCCGCTAATTCTGGCTTCTCCTTTGCATTGTCCTTGTCTTTTTCTCTAACATCCTTATCCTTTGCATGGATTACAGACACCTGCGCCTTTTTCTTTCTCTAAAAAAAACTAATTCATCTTCCGACCTTAGAACTAATATTACCTCATAAAATTTAATGTCTATCAATTTTACAGTGCTTTTTAGTCTTTCATTACTATTCAGAGTGTGGGTAGCGCAGTGGTAATGATGCCGTTAATTGCGTGGGCGGACGGTTCGACCTAACTAGGCGCTGCTACAACCCCACTTCTGCTCACCAAGCCTATCACCAATCCAGAGTAGCGAAATTAGTACCAAACTTGCTTAAGAGCTAATCACTACTGAGGGCGCCATAGCACGGCTATCCCAGGATTTTACAGAGGATTGCATGGCTTGCATTTGGCGAGATTCGTGACGAAGGCCAAAAAATCCTCAATTAGCAGCCGAACAAACAGAAAAGAGCTCGAAGACCTCCTGACCTTCTGAGATAGCTGGGGCAAGAATGATTCGAATGTATGAAGTACTAAAATCCGCGAAGTGTGATGCACTTGATGTGGCGTCACATAGTAAAAAATAAATAAAATACTACTAACAGTCATTTGAACTTGTTGGACCTTCGTAGAGTAAGGGATTCACTAATTGCAAATATCACACTCTAAACCACTCACTCTTTATCGCGTTTTCGATTTATTCTCGTTTCTAACCGAAGTGTTATACAGCTGCGCTTTCTAAGCACTCAAGAAAGCACGTGCAGAATTATCTGCTCATCTTCTCAATAAATTTTTATCTCATTTCTTACCTAAGTTTTCTCGATTTCACTATTACTAACTTGCGAATATATTTGCTAGTGCTAATTTATCGAACCTTGTTCTCCTTTTTTGGTTGATTCTGCTTATCGTCCCTATAGCGTAACGAAATCTTCCAAACAAAATAAACAGCTCTAAGCACAGAATTCGCCGCATGATAAAACACTCTAAGCACCATCGAAGCGTCAGCATCAGGGTGCAGTCCAGATGGAGAAGCTTCCGTCCAAGGACCTGATATGTATAGCTTTTACTATCTATTTTATTTATTTTTTGTAGTGCATTATATTTCGGAGTTTTTCTGGCAGTGAGGACAGGCCACCCCAATATCCAAGTACGTTATATCATGTCTGATTTACAGTTATTAACTATTTTAACCTAATGTAGTTCACAATAATTCTTATCTTTCATACCTATTTTCTATCTTTTTAAAGTTTTTCATTTAAAAAAATGAAAAAATAATCAATAATGATACAATCATAATATTGGAAGGAGAGAGGTGCACGACGTGCAGATTCGACCCCCCCCCCCCCCCCCCCCCCCCCCCCCCCCCCCCCCCCNCCCCCCCCCCCCCCCCCCCCATCTCCTCCAATCCACCTGGGAACGCTTAAACCCGATTTTCTCCTAGATTGTAAAGAACGACTTCCATAAAGAAAATGAAATCCCCAAGTATCAGCTGAAACAACAGGCAAAATGTTCGAAGACCTTTGTGAACGACGCATGCGAGGAAAACGAGTCCAGTACAAGTGCTGGGAACCGCACAGTCGATGTGACAATAAAAATAATAAAAAGGACCACAATGATGCTCAGCTATTTACAAAACTCAGACGCCAGGCCACATTAGAACCCGTGATTACCCTTTCCGGGGGATAACGTGTTGCTCACTGCACCACTGAGGTCCTTACTTTGCCTTTCCCTTAGCCAGTTTTAACGGTGCTATCATCAATCGCCTGTCAAGTGGAATAATGTATGGAGCAAAAATTTCCCTTGGAACCTAGTTAAATTGAGGTGATAGTCGAAATCCTAATGTTCACCTTTATTTTTTTTTTCAAACCGATCGTCATTTAACTTCGACAGCAAAATAGTCAACATGTAGTAAAAAAAAAAACGTAGTAATGGCAGGTGATGGCAGAGTTAAGTATACAAAACTAGCTGAGAGAAACGTAGAACAGAGGCCTCCGTGATGCAGTGTGTAAAACGCGAGTCTCCGGAAAGGCTAATCGTGATTCAATCTGGCCCGGAGTCCAAGTTTTGCGAATATCTCAAAAACGTAGTAGTAAAACGTAAAAATCAAATCAACTTCGTGTGAGCTCATCAATCTAAACACGTGTTTAATTTTTCATAGTTAACAATAACACAAATAATTTTACAGTAATAAGGCTGAAATAATACAGATTTTGAAAAAATTAAACAACAACAATAATTGAACTAACAAGAAATAAAATAAAAAATTAAATCATCCACAAATAGTATAGCAATAATATTAACTATAACTAATAGTTAGTTAATTGTCAATTATAATCAACAACTAATTATAATTAATAGTTATTTTCATCAAATACCATCACAATTACCCTATAATATCGATAACATAATAACACTGTACTAAATCGACTTTCACTTAACCTCGCCGTGAACAATCAACAAATTTTATTGTATTGCTAAGCTTAAATGAGGTTATTATTCAACTTTCATTCTGCTAACGTTTCGATGTCTACATCTCCATCAGAGCCGATGATGGTCGACAGTTGTTCGACTTCTTGATGTGGTTTCTTCCTCGTCGTATCGAGTCGGATCTTGTTTAGTGGAGTGAAACTCGGTTTAGTGCAGTATTATCACGCTTCTGTGCTAGCTATTGTAATACCCATTGCTACAGATAGATTGTCTACATGAAAAAACCAATATCAATCCACAATCAGTCAACTACCGTCTTATATAAAACAGCGCTGCCGGATGAGGTTGCCTCGGGTGTCAAAGACGTCGAAACGTCAGCCAAATAAAAGTTGTGCAACAACCACGTGTAACTTGAACAATCCAAAGAAATTTATATTAGTTAAATTAATAGCACCGATAGAGTAAAAACCCTCCCAACTGCTTACCCCCTTGGAACCTAGTTAAATTGAGGTGATAGTCGAAATCCTAATGTTCACCTTTATTTTTTTTTTCAAACCGATCGTCATTTAACTTCGACAGCAAAATAGTCAACATGTAGTAAAAATAAGTCTCATCGTAGCTGGCAGGTGTTCCTGGGTATCGGGCTGCGATGTACGGCAGGGAGATTCGTCACCCCGACAGAGTCTACCAAGCTGAAAAGGAGTCCGGCGTTTCCATCAGGAAACTTAGCTAAGAGTAAACCAATACCAGGATCCACCACCGTCCTGGTATCAAAGTCGCATGGTGGCAAATCTCCATCTGGGCCGCGATTGCCTCTCGTGGTGACAACCCGGGGCAGACTTTGACTAGGCTGACCTCGGGATGCCAGGGAACCACAGTAGCTTAACCAGCAAATCTCCGAAAAATGGTGATTATGCTGGGGCCTGCACAACTAGTGAGGACGAGCCGTTCAAGTATCAAGTATCAAGAGTAAAAACACGGCTGGAGGAAAGGTGAAGCAAGGCTTTCCATTGGTATGATGGACACAACGCGAGCCACCGGCAAGAGTAATCACGAGTTCGAAGCTCAGTTGAAGTTTCGAGTTTTGTTGCTCGTATCTCAGCGTCCTTTTGATTGTTGTAATCCTATTGTTAATTACAAGAGTTAGTAACACAATAACTGCAATTTAAGCATTTACTTCATATTTTTACTTTGCAATTTCTTCTTTATTTCTTAAATTTTGGTTTAATCTACATTATTTCACTATTATGTCACATTTTACTCTTATTTTGCTTTTTATCCACCTAATAATTTCATTATTAAAATAAGAGCTCGGAGAAAAAAGGAGTGAAGCAAAACCTGAAATTTTCACTCTGCTGTCGCGGCTTACTGATGTGCCGTCACTTTTTCTCGCATCGATGTTATTTAAATCGAAAACAGGTCGCGGTACGGTATGATGTTGTCGGATAGCGCACGCTATGGCCCTGTCACCTTCGAGATACGCACATGCCAACACACAAACCAGACAGAAGCTGCAAAACACTACGTTTTGTTAGGAAAAGCTAGCAGGTCGTAAAACTATCCCGAGCAATATAAAGCTTTAGTCGTTATCTGGTGATGGTATGCATTTCCTGTATAACAAGGAATTTAGAAGTATTCAACTTACATAAGCGCTGTCACACAACTATAGTACATAAGATTTTCGAACGGTGGTCTTGGAAGCGCACGATGACATCTTGCCATCATATCTTCTGGAACCGTGGCCGCTAGTGGAAATAACCATGAACTGCCATTCATGTGCATATATAGCTGAAGGTCTGCCTCATTCGTTGTCGTGAGGAAATCGGGTGTGTACCTATAGATCGGCTTTAATACAGTAAACATAACTCATCCAACAAGACCAATGAAAACGTACGCAACATCAAGAGAATATGTCTCATTGGGTTGGAGACGAAACGGATAACAGTTGAGAATACGAAAGCCACGATTTTCGCATGGTACACCACTTATACTCATATTCACAACAGTAAACGGCACCTCTCCAGAATTCAGTACCAAAAAAGGTCGTCGCACAGTAAGAGTGGAGCTCAGCTTATGCATTAGCCCTGGAAACAAGAAAGCTTAGTGCACAGAAGTGAAACCAACACAAATCAGCAGAATCTAAACAGATCATTTCCACATCTTTCATTTGTATTTTAAAAAAAAGAGCTGCAATTAGAAGAATTATCGAGAATAACAAGGATCGTAACACAGTTGACACTTGCAGTGGTTGGGATTTTAAAACTCAACCTACGTTTGGGATTGTTGCAATCGCTGAGGTGATCATGACGAATTTCAAATAGTAGCGGTTGTTTAGAACGGGCCTCCATGTGTTCCACACGCATCCCTATACGCGCACCTCTGCCGTACACAACAACTGGTTCAATTGCTGTTAGGTTGTTCCTTGAACACCAAATGAATTCAACATCGTGAAGTAAATGGATACTACGGAATGTGATATATAAGGCAACTGGTGAATATACATTCCTATAACCCATTTTATGCAAACTGTCGTCAACGTCAGTATAAATCCCTTGTTTCACTACATGAAGACAACGATTTAAAACTTTTCTTAACAAATTAAGCAAACAATAAGTAAACCAAAGACAATTAAGTCGACACTTGATAATTACCTAATGAGTAACAACGATGAGCGTAAAGTGTAATCCGACGGTAGGAAACCAAGTCGTAGACGTACTTTCATGTGAGGTTTCAAAAGCAATGATAAAGTGAACCTATAAAGTTTAGGTTAGAACACAAAGTCCCATTCACTCTGATACAGTTGCTTTGTTTGCCAGCTGTTGGTACCAGATGACTTTTTTAAAACGGCAAAAAGGATAAACAAAAGAATAAAGCTTTGGCGTTAATCAGTCTTCGTGGGATGCCAAATGCAGTCGCGTTCATCAAGCATTGTGGAGGTAACTGAATGTATGTCTGGCCTAACCAGCGATTTTCGGTGGCCTACTGGCGTCTGAGGTCAGTAGTGCTTGCTACCTTCTCATACAAATCTGGTACAAATTTATCGACCCCAGAGAGATAGAAAGTTTGCTAAATCCAAGGCGTGGGACCAAACCAGTGATCGAACCACTGTGTATTGCAGGACATCACTAACTACTGCGCTACACGTGCACTTTCAAATAACAAACTTTAAAAGTATCATCCACCGCGCACGGTGCTATATTACTGTATTATTTTATTGCTATCGTTAAGTGTCATTGTTTATTTTATGCGTATATCATTGTATAAGACACAAACACCAGCCACGTATTAAATTTTTGGAAAGAGATTTACAAATGAAATGTATAGCTTTCACTCGTATGGGTGAGAAGATAGAAACTGAGAAAAGAAGTTTATGTCCTTACCTCGGCACCGTTTGAGGTATAGCAGCCTCAAGTTCTTCACGGAGTCGAGGAACTGGACTATCTGGTTTCAATGTGAACAATTCGGTGTCACGGAGTGAGAACATCAATGTTTCGTTCATCTCCACCTCAGATGTTAGAGGTGTCATGAGGTGCTCACGAAAGAACTCTACTGCTGCATCCGCATCCGGATAAATCACTAATGGAATAACCTGGACCACTATTGGCACTGAAGTGGGATTTGCCAGTGTGAGGTTGACTATCTGAAAGTTATAGAATAAAGCATGCTTGTAAACAAACTGAGGTAAAGTTTGTTGCCAAAAAACAAACTTTTACGGTAATTGGATCCTACCGTAAAATTTCCAAGTGCAGTGAGTGGAAAATGCACCGAATTTCGAGTGAGAAGACGTGGCCAGACCATCTCAGCAGTGGATTCAATCTACAAACGCTGATTTCAACTCAAAAATTAAGAATTACCGCGCAATTTGTATACGCAAACACCTCTTTTGCGAAAAATTTTAAGCATGTTACTTTTGCAACAAGAAAATGAATATTCATATCAGTAATATAAGCACCTGCTCTTAATGTCAAGAAAATTTGCAGTTGTAAGCTAACCTGGATGTTTTTCGCACGATCAGTGTCGATTACAACAGTTGTATTGACTCGATATTTACCACTCTTAACAAGGTTCTCAAAACGAGCTCGTTGTCTCTTGTAAAGGTAGCTATCAACTTCCGCCAAATTTGGCGGCAATGTTAGACCATGGACGAACCACTGCCCATCTTAAAGTGATGATGAATGGTTAAATTTTATACACACAAGGCCTCCAAGATGCAACAAACCAGTCGTGTGGAGAGGAAGACCAAGATAGCAGTACTCATGCGAACATGGTGTCTCAGGAAGAAACATTATGCGTCCTAAAGAGGGCATTGTAAGACAGCTATGCACGCACACAAAAAAAAAAATGCAGGTTAAATTGGTAAAACACAAATCTAACCGTACTACCAACCCAGGTTAGTTAGGCGTCCAGATCTCAGTACCGGTGGATTAGCAGGATCAAACCCTTCAAAAAAGAAACGTGGATCCCTTGATGTTGTTGACAAACGGGTTACCTTCATGTCTTCCGTAAAGGAGTTGAATATCTGGAAAACAAATGATGTTATATCGACAATACAAGAGGTAAAGTATCAGTGTAAATATAGTAATGTTGCTAAAAAAACCTCCCTCATATGAGGGATCTTGATCAGATTAGTCGAGAGGCAACGTCGCGTGTCCTCAAGTAGCGGAGAGGAGTTAAGTCATGGACCAAAAGCGACCTTAGCTTCCCTGAGACGAAAATGAATCCAAAGCATGGAATTCCTGCTTCTGGTACGCCGATTTGACACATACCTTCTGTGTTTACGGAAACGTAATCATGCACGCATGTGTGCGTGTTCTTTTTAATGCGGACTGTATTTCACGAGTCCATCGGCGAAAAGCCTGCGACTACGCGACAGCGAAGTATGCGGCATGCGGCTAGGAGTTGCCCCCAAAAATAAGCTTCACCATTTATTGTGGAAGAGAATGTAAAGCTATACTTGAGTGTAGCCACTCTCCAATATCATAGCTCAGCAAGCTATATGTAGGTATCAAACGGCAAACACAGTAAATTAAATGAACCTCGTTTAACTGGACAAAAGCACCCGATACGGCAGCGTTGGGAGGGACGAGTACGCAGTGGGTGCAAAAACTCAGGATCACTCTAGTCTGTCTAAATCGCAAAGGACTGAAGTGACGACCTGTATCTACAACGGACGCGCACTTACATCGCAGTCCTCGATAGAAGACACGATCATGCAGGCAAGAAGGATAAGAAACGATGCCACTGGACCGGCTGAGTCGAAAAGACGTCACCCATTTGACGCCATCTTCGGCGGCGTCGGCGTTTCTCAGCATGAGTTTGCCCTAAGACATCGATTCACTGGAACAAATAACAACCCGAATGAGACATTTACGATTGAAGCGATATGGATCAATACCGGCTTGCACAATCTTAATCGTTTACGCACCGACATCAAGCTATGACGAAGACGAAGTCGAAACGTTCGGTATGGGTCTGCAGAAGCTCTGCAGAGAAGACCATACATTCTTCAAGGTCATCAATGAAGATTTTAACGCAAACATTCGACCAAGAAGAACGTCTGAAGAACACCACATTGGGACCTACGGATTGTAATGGAACCGAGCGGCTGTCTTAGTTTATCAAGACGACCAAGACCACTCATGGTAACTTACAATTCCAGAAACCACACCATAAATTCTGTACGTGGGAGTTTACGAATGGACAGGACCACAAAGAAATAGACCACATCATAGTAAATCGAAGGTTTTGTCTAGCTGATGTTACTGCTGTTCCAAAATTCTACACAAGATCAGACCATCATCTCATTAATGCAAGATTTCACACGTCGCAGAAAGAAGAAAAAGCCGCTAAATTCAAAACGCGAGGTTTTAAAACTACCATAAACGGTGATTTACTCAGCTCATTAGTCGGTTCTTGGGAAGGTCCCGTTGATAACATCAACGAGGAGTGCGATCGGCTCATTGAACACCTTCACGTTAGAGCTATGAAATCTGAGTTCCGAAATCTCCACGAAATTCTGTCTCCAGAAAAACTCGAGCTGATATGCCTGTGCGAAATCGCATGACCTACAAGCAACTGTCAACTCACATGCGAACTTGCAAAATAATGCACATAAGCTATAAAAGAACATCTTAAAGAGAGAAGAACAGAAGCTATGGTCGAAGCTACAAAGGGTGGGAAAAACATTCACAAAGCACCCGAAGCTTCAGTTTCCAGAAATGCAATGGAGAAATTTATTCAGGATTACTACTCGGATTTCACCTGCAGCCACGTCAGGATAAGACCTCAACACCCGAGAACCTTCCGCCAGTCTCGTGAACACACTTGCCCAGCTCTTCACACGTTACCTGTCAGAATGTGATATTTCTACTCAATGGAAGACCAGCAAAACAGTGTTATTGTTCAAGAAGGGTGACGTCCACGATAATCGGCAGCTACCGCCCAACCTGCTTGCTCTCAGACGTGTAGAACAAACTTCTCACTCAAGTCATCCTAAACAGGACTGACAGCACACTGGACGAAGGACACCCATGTAAGCAATCAGGGTTTCCAAAAGGATTCACTAGGTGGACCACATCCACACAACAACAAGACTTACTGAAGTTTCCCGAGAAAACATGAGACCGCTCTGTGTTACTTTCATCTATTTCAAGACAGCTTTTGACTTAGCTGAGGTAGAAGCAGTCATGAAAGCCTCGGGGAGCCATGGCGTCCCTACATAGTCCATAAAGATTCTTTTTCAGCCGTATAAAAATTTTGCAAGCAAAATAACACCACTTATAGCAAAGCTGAGATCGACATCAAAAGTGGGGTTAGGAAACGCGATACCACCTTGCCAAAATTCCAAACCGCCGCTCCAGAGAACGTCATGAGAACACTGGAATAGGAAAATATAGGAGTGCAAGTCGAGGGTCGGAAATTACACCGCTTTTGCCTTGCTGATGACATCGTTCTTATAACATCAAACATTAGCAAAGTGGAACGAATGCTTGCAGATTTTGACAAAGCCTGTGTGGAAAGGTTGATCTTCGACTAAATCTCACAAAAACGATGTTCATGAGGAATGGATTAGTTTCGTATTCATATGCCTTATTCACACTGGATAGAGCATATTATACCTTCTTCGAATGCTCCATCTATGTCTAGCTAGGTCGGTAAATGAACACGATGGATTAGGCAGCTTTCAAGCGCTCCGTAAGCAGGACGAAAGATAAGTCAACGTTATTAAACGTACAGTCGAAAGGACGATGCTAGAAGTACTCCGTACCACGTAAGTGAGTGAGGGGATCCGAAGCTCTGATTTACGTGAACTGTCAAAAGTCAAAGATGCCGTTCTATAAACCAAACTGTGGAAGATTAGGTAGGCCTGACACAAAATGGGTGTGAATGGCAACCGATGGACAAGAGCCGTTAGTGACTGGATTCCTCGGGATGTCAAAAGTACTGCAGGAAAACCACCGACCCGACGGTCAGAGTTCTCCATGAGGAGCCTAGAAGATATAATGCTCAACGACTCCATAGAGCAAGTAAAACCAACAGGGCTACCCTTCCTTGCGACAAGTAAAAATGGAAGACATACTGGCGCCCACTCGAGTTGCTCGATGGTAAACGGGAAAACTGGGGATACGAGTGATTGCTAAAAACTCCCGGTAGGAAAAAAAAAGCATCTTAGTGATAAGCGATACTATATAATACAAAATGAAATAAGAATAAACGCCTTGAAATTGTATAACATCTCACTATGTTGCAGATACCTGTAAATTCATATAGACGACTTTTCCGGGGTGTGTTTTCCCAAATGAAATGCGGTCTGGAATCGATGTCAAACTTCCCGGCGCAATCTAAAAAATCGATGGAGAACAACAACAATACCGGTAAGCTGCCAAAAATATGGCATATGTCTTCCTGACCTCAAACTTTACAGGAAAAACCCTGTGCTCGAACTCAGTAGCAATAATCATTTGTGAAGGAAGAAATGATGCATTCACAAGCAACCTCAGTTCGAAGTCCAAGAATGCAGCACTATGTGGTGGAATCTCTAAATCCGCACCCTAAAAAACACGTTCTATATTAACGTAAATGATGATGTTGGTTTTCCGACAACTAAAGCACCTGACGTGATGAAAATTTAACACGACTGCAGAAGAGACTTTGTCTTAACGCTTTGAGGACATGTACTTTTATACTATTATTATAATTGCGAATTTGAGCAAAATCCAAAACCTAAAAAGCTGAATACGAAATTTCAGTTCAGAAAATTCTTGAAATTTTTGATGACAGTATGACTGCCATGTACACAAGCGATACATTACGTTACTACATCGAACCGTGTTCAATCACTGTTCGAAATGACGGCGTTGATAAAAAAGGAGACTTTGTGGGCTTCAGAAAATTAGATTTTCATTTTGGAAAAAAATATGAATCTTCTAACAAACGTCTTAAAGGTTTCTATCTCAACTAATAAAGTCTGCTATGAACTACAATATAATTGTCCAGAAAACCGTCATTTTCAGCCATATGTGAATCGAAATCAATTCACAATGTACTCGATGTGTTAAAGAATCACCAAAGCATTTGGAGAGACAAGCTAGATGTTCCTGAAACCAATTCGCACCTGGGGCCATTCTTCGCGATTTTCGGGTGAAACCCACGTTCCTGCCGTGTTCTTGCCAACAATTGAGACCAAGTACAGTCTATGTAGGGAAGGCCGAGGTACTGACAGAGCTCGGATTGTTATTACAGCGTGATTTTTGTTACGTATAACGAACTAAAAATAAGAACAGTGGAAAATTTTGCAATAATCTACTTCCAAGTATAAAGTTTCTACAAGAATTTCCGTTGCACAAAAACTAAGTAGCTACGCAAAAAATTCGAAGGATAATAAGAATAAAAGATTTCGCTTACTCGTATAGTTCGGGGGTCGTTTTTTTCCAACAGACCGAAATCAAATGACTCCTGATCGACAGAGAACAACTCAACCTAAAAATACCGCTCTTAAAAATATTCGTTGTGGAGTGAAATTCATCATGCTTATGCAGTTCAAATAAAAACGTCATCACACTTCTCTTAAACGTAACACTATTGGAGGTGTCAATAACCTCATTTGTTTAAAGCAAACTTGTTTTCATCATTCAAGATCAACTGGTGATAGCCAACGCTCACCCATAATGCACAAAATCCAGAAAAGAACATAAAATGATAAACACTTCAACTGACCTGAACCTTACCAGAATACTTCCACAGGTAGACTCTAAAGATAGAAACATTCGTGTGTACATACAGGACGGCTTGGCCAAAAGTATCCGGAACACGCTTAATGTACTTCAACAGAAACACCGGTTGCTCTTCGTTCACACCAATAACAGTTGTTTTGTTGAATAAGCGCACCTTAGATGTGTTATTGAATTAAGATCAAAACTAAATGAGCAGAAAATACAGTGACATGTAGAGCACATTGAAAAAAGGAGCTCATCGAAGGAGAGCAGCATATGATACAGGCAGTTTTGACTTAACACTCATTTACTAATCCTGTTTAAATTGAAAAATCTTAAGCACATACCGTGAAATACTGCGTGGCATCTGATGAAATTGAAATGTTCCAAATTGCTACAGAAAAAGGTAACGCATTATGTAGTCGAACACTGCGCTTATGTGGTGGCCTTACACTTTCTTGCAGAGCAAGATCATTACCAACTGAAATTATGTCCCTAAAACAGACAAAATCATTTTATGGAACTGAATGTAAGCACACAATGATCACAAGAACCTACAACAAACCCTTGATAAACGATGACACGAAATGGAATGGTAACGTTGTAGTTCCCTCCACGACTTAAGGCTATTATTCGCCCATGGATTTTACGAGCACTCGGACGTTTTGAATCAAGTGTAATTCGTGAAGCATCGAAGAATACTTTTACTAAGTCCGAAGGTTTGCCTAAACATAGATAATTTTAATGTTGGAAAATTAAGTGGCAAAGCCAAGACAAAGTAAATGGAAGAAGGCTACCTGGCTGTGAATTTTTTCCAGGCAAAACAGCAATAGGCGGTGTAGAAGCAAATTCCATGTAAATTCCAGTAGGATCACCTTTGTCGACATATAAGGTCTATAAGGGAAGCGATATGACGGATATACTGCACAGATCCAAAAATAAAGGAAAAAAAACTACGAAGAACCTCAAATTCAAGCCTTCCGTTCAGCATATACTGATACACGGACAGCATCTGATATTGAGACCTTTCGCCTTGCCTAAAATTGGGTTCAAACTTTTAATGATTTCTTACATTCCTCTACTGGTAACCTATCTATTACCACTATTGGTCTATTTTTTCTCGGAAAGGAACAAATCCGCAACTATAAATCATATTTCTAGGACGATGAACTAGAAAACACCTTAAGATACCAAAATCCAAAATATCCTTGGTGGTAAAAACTCCACGACGCCTATTTACTTCTATGGGTATCGGAAGAATAATGGAATGTTGAACACCATCTTTCCTGAAATGAAACCACAGAAAGTCCACATACCAACAAATGAAAAAAAATCTCACAAACCCATCGTCATCAAGAAGTGAGCCTTCTACTCGAATAAAATTTGTATTGTTCTCCACAGTATGTCCAACAATTACGGAGCGACAGATTGTCTTCGTTTGGAAGGGATGGATATCCTGGATAAATGGATAGGTCGATAAACAGGAATATTTTATATTTAAGAAACAGAAATACGACTAAACCATACTCGAATGACCCTTCGATGATCACTAAAATTTCAGACTTACCCAATACTCCAAATGTTCGCCAGCAACCTTCCCGTCAATATCGTATGGCATTTCTATATGGAGATTACCCCCTGATGACATTATCTAAAAGTTACCAAATAGCACTGGAATATTGAAAGAGATTAATAGTGTAACACTTTATTATCTTACTTCAGTTATTCTAAAAGTGCTTGCGAAAGGGTTATGAAGAGTAACATCTTTAAATATTGTGCCGTTGAACGGCAAACGAGTACCAACGAATGGAGCGATCCGATAAGGATTTGATGAAGAACGACCTGATAGCTAGAAACGCAAACATTGCTAAGGTGTAATGCTCTAATGGAAATATAATTTAAAAACAGTAAAAATAAGGTTCAATCATGAAAAAAAAAAGACTTGAAGCAGTGGTTAATGATTTTCTGTAAACATGAGGCACTGTCAAGTCCTGAATTAAGCACAGTGATGGTCACTGAAGCAACAAATCATTACGGATGTGACACAACATCACCACTCTATGTACAAAATAAATGTGGATTAGTGATGTAATAAATAGACAATTCTCCGAACGGTTTACCGCCTCATCGTGGGCGGAAGGTGTTCCTGGGTGTCGGGCTGCGATGTACACCGGGAAGATTCATTCCCTCTTCAGGGTCTCCCAAGCTGAGAAGAGGTCTGGTGCTTCCATCAAGAAGCCCAGCTAACAGTAAACCAATACCACGATTCACCATCGTCCTGGTATTAAAGTCGCATAGTGGCAAATCTCCCTCTGATCTACAAGGTGGCGAAGACCTGTCAAACTTTGCCCGGGCTGTCCTCGGAACTTCAGTGAACCACAATGGATAAACTAGTAAATCTCCGTAGAGTGGAAACTACGCTGGGGCCCGGACCAGTGAAGACAGGCCACCCAAGTATCCAAGTAAAGTAATAAATGGACAAATAGACAATCAACCAATGTTAATACAACATGAGGAAGTCCTTTTCAAAACACTAAAGAAAGCAGGAATACAGTGAGGCATACATTATTACGTATACAAGACACAATGAAAACCCTAAAACATGAATAAACCTACTTCATATGTAAACGTGCCAACAGAGGTTCGTATATTTATAGCAACGTTGGCGCTTCCTTCATCACGAGGAAGAAATGCGACATCAAAGAATGCTGATCCGAGTGGAGGAATTTCCTGGAAATTTATGGCCCATAGAAGAGGGGTATTTCAAAAAACCGACAAGAAATGCAGGAGAACTGAGCTCGGCATGAAAAAGTTTCAGAATGAATTCAAACACTCACAACGATGTTGAAAAATGATGTGTGAAAATTGACAGTGGCACCACCAATAGAATCCAAAATGATGGATCTATGAAAATGGCTTCGAAGAAAAACGCGTTTTTTCAATGAAGACCCCACAGCACTATAAGGATATAAGGCTCTCAAAGAAGCATAGAGCAGTGGGACATTGAAAACTCACCCGTCGCCGAAATCTAAGAACGGTGGATCAAACTCTATCGGTAACGAGTTTTCACCGTTCTGTTTACGCACATTGTAATTTTTCTCCCTGAAAAAACAGAGAAGACAATCAAGTCACGGAAATTACAACGAGCAGACTTGAATTTAAACACAACCAACTTTAACTTAGCTACTACTCCTCCTCCAGCTGATACCTCCGATTGGACCCTGTGTCCCACTACCATGTCGCTTTCCATTTTGCCCGATTCACTGAAGTAGTGAAGTTCCTCGCCAGTTTGGACGAATGCGGTATGCAGCACCGGCAACTCATCCAACGGTGATTGAATCTCCCCAGAAGTGGCATCATAATACACCCACTGAAGGAAAAAAAATTTGATCACGTGATATCAGAGTCTGATAGTCAAGGTCTGGCAAAAAATCACAAATCTGTATTTTCATATTACAAAAGTGGGGCTACCCGAATACGCCAGGTGCCCAAATAGGTTCAACCTAGTATCAGTTTTAAAATCAGCAAAATAGCACAAAAATGTAAAACGAAAACGCAATATGACGCAAAACAAGACGTCCCTATAAATTTCCATTAGCGTGCTAACTTGACCCTTATCATCCATTCCCACTACTTTCAGATTGCTTTCAAAGAGATACGGAACCAGAACTTCGAATATTCGTGTTCTTTTATAATATTTTTATATCTGAAAGATCTAAATGCAAAGTAGGAATAAGTGATGATAGACGTACCTGATGTTCTAAAGTAGCCAACACAGCAATTAATACAGAAAACATAAAGTAAATAACAGAAAGGCATTTAATGTTCGACATTCCGACTTATAATACTAGTGAAAGTGGCATTAATCTGAAAAGAAGGCCGATGTCTCCGCTGGTTCTCATCCAGAGGAACAATGTTCACACGACATTCCAAAGGATCTTCAAAGGAGACTGGAGAATCTTCCCCAACATGACACACGGAAATCGTACACCAAACGATTTATTCAGAATAAGGCTGGATGAATGACGTTTTAAGCAGCCTACTGCTGCTTAGAAGGTAAATATAAATGCAAATACGTTCGGAAAGCAAACATGGAAGAGAGCTGATCACTTAGTGCATAAGACCATATGAGAGACAAGCTTAAGGTCTCGATATTCTTGCTGAGCAAACACGAGGTGTTACTTTATTCTCTCTTCCGTTAAAGCATCGACTTTTGAGGTTGGGTGGTGCATTCGTCGACCACATGGAACTCTGATCAGCTGTTCTTCCTCAGTGGAAGGAACGTAATAAAGGGTGGGTTTTTTCGAGAAGCTCTTGATCGTGTGATTGCGATTTAGATTTTCATCTTTCTTTATGTGTTATCGGAACGTTTGACTTAGTAAATTGCCTATCAATATACCCTTCCAGGATCTGAAGAAGGCGAAATCCGCCGGAACGTCAGATTCAACGGAATAAAGAATAAAGTGACACCTCGTGTTTGCTCAACAAGAATATCGAGAGCTATCTGATCAACGCCGAGGTCAATAGGAAGTCGGTCGTGGAAATTACTACAAGGTTAAGGTTCATGTCTGTATACAACGCACTGCGATATGCTCCTTCCTTATGCATTTCTAAACGTGCAGAAGCAAATACCTTCACTTTCCTTACTCTTTAAAGTTTCTAAGGAAGATCAAGAGATGTTTCTCCTGAATACGAAGCATATACTCACAAAGGTCTAGCCTTCATGAACTGTAAATTCACATTACTGTTTGTATAATGACGAACCTACAAGAAACAACGTTGTCGAAGTAAGCTCTTCGCTAGAGGAACATACTTGTGAAGCGTTTCATTGTTGCTGATGGAGAGATGTGTGAGCGCAAGAAATGCTGCTTCTCAGAAATGGAGGACCATCGTGGGAGCACTGGACTTCCGCAAGAAAGCATGCACCTCTCAGAACGCTGCGTCGACACCCAATGCTGTCCCAGCACGCACAGCTGCTGGCGACACGGAGCGTCCTGCACGTCCGGGCTGCGCCCGAGAGAAGAAAGAGCTCCCCGATCGTCATCTACGCGACCAGCTTCGTGCGTTCATCAATCGCTGCTGACGGCGATCAAGCTCTATTCTGTCCTGCTTCTTCGACCATCGTCATTCACACAGTTTCAGCAGTAAAGGATATGGACGGTTACAAGTGAAAAAGTGCCTCTCTCCAGAATTTCATGCGAAGTAAGTTCAGAAGAGCCGAAAACGGTGAAAAGGAATTGAAGTGACTTAATTTTCCTAAACCACAGCCTCATCAAACTACTTATCAGCGAATCATTCGGTGAACCATAGCTAAACTACAAGAATTAATGGATTCGCCGGAGAAAAATTACTCTCCGATGGAAAGTGAGTTATTCTCAAAAATCTCTCAGACATGAACGCGGACCATATTTATCCTACATGGTATTAACTTCGTGGAGTGTTTGTGACTACTCAACAAAAGCGTGAAATAAAAAACCTACATATGGGAGACTCATGGCGAAGCATTCGAGAAAGAAATGACACCTGCCTCATAAAAATTGGCGATGAGCAATCTTCGAAAACGTTTCGGGACAGCAAAGAACTCTGATTTTCAGAGTGAGGGATGGGACAAGTAGTAACGAGAGTGAAGTCGAAATCAACGATCAGAACGAGCGAATCGCGATGTTTTGGGGTCATAACTGAGCACACGCGTGGACAACACACGAATGCAGTGGAGGCATGTCGCTGCGTCAACCTTTCCTGAGGACGCAGCTGCGACTGCGCCCAAGCGAGACAAGCACCCGGACCGGGCGAACGATCGGAAAGCGCACTGCACTGTTCGCAAAGCACCGCCACACAACGTGTTGCCCGAGGCTGTACACAGGCGGACAAACACCTTCATTAGGCAGATGTCAAGCTCCCAAGCAAGACAAGCACCCAGACGGGGCGCAGAGTCGAGAAGCGCACGGCACTGTTCGTAAAGCACCGCTACACGTGTTGCCCAGAGGCTGTACACGGGAGGATAAACAATTTCATCCCGTGGATGTGAATGAAACTCCCAATCAAAACCTGCCTCGTACACATATGTCAACAATTGTGCACTCAAAAGAATTCGAGAAACAGTTCTAATTTCAACACCAATACTGCCATCTTTCAATTTGCTAAGAACCAAACTCGAAACTTCATACAAGTACAGGAACACCTATTACTTTCTGGAACGACCCTTCTTCACGAATCTTGACATAATTTCCACTGGTTTCCACGAGTAACATTTCGTGATCTAAGAATCATTTCCAACTGTAATGTAATAAGGTAACGTGAGCCACAGATTCGTCTTTTTTGAAGGTAGTTGCTGTAGAGAACGCTTGCATCCTCTTGGAGTTCACTTAGCTATTCCTAACGTCCATCTTTCGTCAGCTCCTCTCATATCACCACACAGTTTATCCACTACACGTTTTCGCTCCTGGAGATAGAATGACCTTTAACGGTCTACTTCTAGGCGTCATTAAAATTCGGACGAATTTCATTTCAAAGTAAAGTGCCTAGAGGAACGTTAAGTTGAAAAAGTCAGTGCTTAGGTTTTGGCAAGAACCAGATAATATGGTTAGTAGCTTCTTTAAGATACTAGAACCAGTCTCACCTTTCTGCCTAATTCTTCCTCGACATTGCTTCCCAGGTTCATTGAACATAATGGGCACCCTGAGATGTTGTATTTCTAGTTTGAAAAGCGCATATCTCGATTTGTTTACCATCGCAGCGTAGGTTTTCCATGAGTTTGGTTTCTTGAGAGTTACGCACATCCGTGTGATGTTGCCACTTCATTGCACTCTTCGATCATCACTTCGACTTCGGTGGCTTTCCGATTTCATCAGCAAAATGAACGCTTGATACGAATTTTCCACGACTATATACACTATCCACCACTCAATCACGTGACTTCATTAGTCGCTACAGTGCAGCGATGATCACGTTTGCCGAGACGGTGTAGCTCTGTAGAGCTGTTTTTATTATGAGGATGCAAAAGAATTAACGGAAACACAGTGTTTTTTTGGCGGTTTCGGAACACCGTAAGCTTCGAAGCACCCGCACGATTCTTGGTAGTCGACAAGGGTAAGGACAAATGGCATGTAGTATTCCCAATGGACTTCAATAATCGACACGAATATGGTAGTCCTGCTTGACTAAATAGTTCGAGATTCTTAATATACATACATATATTGATTGTAGTGAAGTGCTTGTAGAGCAAATTCAACAAGAAAATTGGATGCTGGTCGCAAATATACCGTTTGTCACCTTTCCTGTCAGGATGACCGTGCGCTAAGTCCTCCACTGCTCAAAAATTCTTTCTCTTCAAGAACGGTTCTCATGCGGATTGCAGGAAGTGCACGTAGTATCGGCTATTAGCTAGAGGGAAGTTAGCTACTAAATTGTCTAATTCTAAAACTAAGCTATCTATGCTTCTGACCGTAGCACGTACTTCAAAGGGAAGAATCTGAAATTGTAATCCTTCGGAGAAAACTCCAAGATATGAAACGTGCTTGCAGAACCTAGAAGATTGGAGTAAACGTTCTCCGTTGTAATTTCGATGTTACGAAAGGAGTCGCTGTCATCTTCGTTAACCACGGAGATGACGGATAAGAGCATATCCACCAACAGTATTTCGTTAAACTGTTCAATCAAAAATGACCTAATGCAAATAGCGATATGCATAAGGCTCTAAAGATCTCGGCGTTGATCAATCTCCGTCGGATGCGCCATGCACTCAATTTCATTAAGCATCGTTGGATGTGACTGAATACATATCTGGCCTTTACAATGACTCACGGTGGCCTACCGATATATCGAGCCAGTGCTGCTACCCTCCTAGATAAGTCTGATACGAATTTGCCGACCCCGCCAATGGAAGACTTGGTGAGCCATGGGCGCGGGGATCGATTCCACGTGTGTGTCGCAGTGGCGCCTCCAACCACAGCGCTACACACGCTCGCTCCTACATAAGTATCATATATATATTATATACATATATTTTAAAAAAACGGTTTTAGCAGAGTAATTCACACGCTGTTGTATGGGGTGCATAAGCCTAAAACGCAGAACGATCTAAAAGGAGTAACTATGAGAAACACAGAAAGAACTGTCAACTGACTGATGCAGATGAAGTTAAACTGAAAAAAAGGAGTCAACTCTCAAATCACAGAGACGTTATTTGATGAAATTAATGAAGCAGTGTTGAATACCTTCCAGGTTTCCTTCTAAATTCCAAACGAATTCGTTCTTTCCCCAACTCACATGAGATAACCACAAGCGCTACATGTGTCCAGCAAAATTTCGCGCATTATTAGCTTCAGGAAACAACTATTATCATACCTAAGGATTTAGCGAATAATCTGTTAACCTTCAAAAATTAAAGGCTCTATAGTGATCCTCATTGGAGGAATCTCGAGCGGATTAGTCGCGAGGCTATGTGGCGCGTTTCCGGGTGGCGGATAGGGGGTCAGTCGGAGACCGAAAGCCACCTTTGCTTCCCTGAGACACAGGTGAATCCAAAAGATGGACTCCCTGTTTCTGCTGCATCGATTTGGCACATACTTTCTGTATTTACTAGGCGCATTCATGCATCCGTGTGTGGTTGCGTTCTTGCTCATGCGGATTGTATTCTATGTGTTAATTCGGCCAAAAGCCTGCAATCAAGTGACTGGGAAGTATATGGGAGGCAGTTAGCAGTCGCCTCCAACAAATAAGCTCCATGTCCACTCTGGGAGAGCCTGGCAAGCTACCCGTGAGTATACCCAGACCCCACGTTCAGAGCCCAGCAAGCTATACGTGGGTATCAAAAATGCTAAACAGTTTAAAAAAACGGGCCTCATTCCCCTGACCCCGTAAAAGCCCCCAATTTCGCAGCGTTGGGTAGGATGAGTACGGAGAGGATGCTAAAATCTTAGGGCCAATTGAAGCTGCCTGGATTACGAAGAATTATGGTAACGATCTGTACATACAATGCACGTACACTTGCAACGGAGTTCTCGATAGAAGACTTGCTCATGCAAGTACGAAGTATAAAGTACGACGTCATCGGCCTGGCCGAGACGAGAAGACGCCAGCCTTTCAACGCCGTCTTTGACTCCAGAGAAGAACTGTTCCTCGGAACATGCGACAGTAAAGGAGTTGGCGGTGTCGGCGTTCTCGTCAACACGAGTTTGTCCATGAACATCGATTCTTTCGAACAACTTACAACCCGAATCGGACGCTTACGATTAAAAAAAATACGTACGTAGATCAATTCCGGCTTTGACAATCTTCGTCGTCTACGCGCCGATATCAAACTATGACGAAGAAGAAGTCGAAGCGTTCTATATGGACTTGGAGAAGTTCTACAGAGAAGACCACACATTCTTCAAGGTTATCATTGGAGATTTCAACGCCAAGATTAGACCAAGAAGACCGTCTGAAAAACGTCACATTGAGACCCACGGACTAGAATGGAACGAACAGGGTGAGTGGGTGTCCAAGTTTATCATGGCGACTAAGACTATCCATGGTAACTCGCAATTCCAAAGCCCCACCCTCAGCGCTAAACGTGGGAGTCTCCCAATGGGGAGTATCACAACGAAATAGACCACATCATAGCAAATAGAAGGTTTTGCCTAACCGATGTCGCTGTTGTCCCAAAATTCTACGGGGGATCAGACCATCGCCTCCTTCGTGCTAGATTCTATTTCTCGCAGAAAGGAGAAAAAGCCGCTAAATTCCAAAACCGAAGTCCTAGAACCACCGCAAACTGGGGCATATTCAATTCATTAGTCGGCTGTTGGGAAGATGCCTCTGTCGATAACATCAACAAAGAATACGATCGGCTCATTCAACATCTTCACGTTAGCGCTATGAAAGCTGAGAGTTCGAAAGACACCAAGAGACGTTTGTCTCCAGAAACACTCGAGCTGATACGCCAGCGAGGAATCGCACGAGCTGCAGGAAACCGTGAACTAACGTCCGAACTTGCAAAACACTGCAGACAGGCGATAAAAGAAGATTAAAGAGAGAAGAGCAGCACTAATAGTCTCAGCTGCAGAGGCTAGGAAAAACATTCGCAAAGTCCACCGAAGC